ATTCTATTCTATTCTATTCTATTCTATTCTATTCTATTCTATTCTATTCTATTCTATTCTATTCTATTTCTATTCTATTCTATTCTCTTCTCTTCTATTTCTATTCTATTCTATTCTATCCTATTCTAGCCTAAAATCATTGTGGTTAAGTGAAACTTTGGGAAAGCGAGCTTTACCCTACCATATGACCTTCTTTGTCCCGGTCATTAAGGGAATCACTACAGTTGTTAAAATTTATTAACGTGGTCGTTCAGTTTCTGTAAAGCAGTATATAAGTCTAAGGGCTATTGCTATGTTGATGGCCGAACTCAGCATGGAAGCACGGACTGAAGAACTAAAGGAAGGATGAATAAAAAAGCAAAGCTGGACTATCTCTACTCATGAGCTGTTGCTAATTTTACCATCTGCGTGAGAGGTGATGTTTTTTTAAATATTGCCATTAATGCACCTTGGAAACCTGAGGGGGTGGGGGGGACAAGGGGGTGTCTTTCACCTCCCCCTGAAGGACTCCGTGTGGGTTGCAAGAGAGAGTAGGATTCCTCTCGTTTTTTGCATTCTTCCAAGTTACTGATTTGATTAGAAACGATTAACATATCATGTAGGGGATTTCACATTTCTGCGGGCACGGCACAGATACTGGGGAGAAGGGGGAGAGGAGAGATTGCCGTATATAATATCAGTGGAAAAACAATTTTTTTTAAAAAAAAAAGTATGAAAAATCATAAAGGGGAAAGGGAGGAAAAAAAGAAAGCTTTGCCAGCAGTTCATTTACACTTCAATACACGGATATTTGGCTCCAGCTGCCTGGAGAATTTAAGCTCATATGCATGGCAACAATACACTACTAAGAGACTAATATTGTCAAATAAAAAAGAACTCTCTTTCTCTTCTGCCCAATATCTAAAAGCAATTTATCATTTTTATGAAGCTCTGTAGACCGGACCCTTTCACTGCTTTGCTTTGCTTTTTTTAAAAACAAAAAAATATCTAGCAGACAAATTCCTTCCCCCACCCCACCAAAAGGGAGATAAGAGACAGGGGAAGGAGAGAAGGAAAGTGATGAGCGTTTAAAAATGCAGTGAGATGGTTGTAATTTTTTTTTTCCTTCTTTCCTTCCTCCTCCTCTCCTCAAATCCCACTCCTTCCTAGCACTGATGATGTTATCTAGTTGGGTAATGCAACGTCTACAAGAAAACAAGCAAACTCAGAGCGCATCAAGGACCCCACAGTCATCCTCCTCCTCCGACCCCACTCCTTTCTTTCTTTTTTTTTATAAATAAATTTTATTAATTTTACAATTAAAACAAACCAGCAACACATACACAAATGAAAGGAAAGAACGAGAAGAAAAGAAAAGAAAGAAAAAAAGCAAAAAGAACGAAAAGAAGATAGACAGAAAGAATAGAAAGCAATCAAAAACATTCTCGTTTTCCACGGTTTGTAAGATCTCTTTTCAACCCCACTCCTTTCTAGCACTGA